CACCAAAAAACCCCCACCACTCACTCAAACCAGGACACTAAGAAAAACATTGTCTTTGACAAAAGCACTATCTAAACATAAAATAGACAAAATCGGAGTTACAGGAAGCTAAAGAAGTCTTCAAGAGCAGAATAAGCCAAGCAGATGCACCAGTAGTTTCTAAAAACAGCTGAAAAAGGAAATTACAGTACAGTTTCCAAAACATCACACACTGCTTAATTTTCTTCAGGCAAATAGACAAATAGCAGATCTCTTCATAAAAAGGGTGACACAGTGGTCAGACTAAAGTCTCAAAGTCTTTTTCAGTTCTAACAAGTATCAGTTGCTTTAAGTAACTCCTTTTTCACTGTGATGATCCATTTCACCTGAGTCTTTGTTTTCTGAGCTCATCTGCTTCAGACTTCTTTTCCAGTGAGATTTAGATGGATGCCCAAAGCTGACCTCCTAGAACATTTGGATGTGAGTGGCTACTCTAACCATAACACTGATATCCACAAACAGTTGGATAAGGGATGTTTATAATTGAGGCTCATCTTTTTCTTTGTTTGATTGTGAGCAGTTTCTTTTATGTTCTGTTACTGAAGTACATGTGTTGACTGACTTAAGAGGACAGCCTTGTAAATGAGACCTTTGATCTCAAGAGTTTATTTTATCTTTGCAGCAAGGAAAAGTGAATTGAATTGCCTGGCAGAACTAAGCCCTCTCTTGTCTCTGTTCTACAGCTGCTGCATCCTTCTGGGGTCATCAAAACTTCCACTTCCACCACTCGATACTCTCTTTTGCTACAGAATTTAAAAAAGGCTTCTCCAACATCTCATAACCTGCAGTACAATGCTGAAAGCTGTACAACTCCTAGTTTATTATACAAACCATGCAGCATGCTCAGACTGTTTTGCTTCTGTAGAAGGGATATATTTGACAAACTACTGTGCTGTGATACAGCAAAGCTTTTTGAACTACACTGATACTCAATGGAAAGTAAACTTTATAGAATTTATTTATATAGAAATTACTTTTCTTTTTTTTTTTTTTTTTGAGTAAAGCACAGTCTAGAAAGTCTACTGCATGTAAGGCTACAGATTAAAAAGAAGTATCTGCTCTGAGATGTTGAAAGGAGTATGTGATCCATCATTACTCTCACATTATTTATGTTAATGCACAGATGCATTAGCATCAGGGACCATTGTGCTATCTACTACATGTACAAAAAAAAAGCCTATGGGGCATAATATTGATTTACTTCCTGACTCAGATCACCAATACAATAGTTTCATCATATTCTTACCAACTGCACTTCATTTAGTTTCCATACTTTCATTATGGCCAGTGTTAGCTACTACAGAAATAATGTTCAATGAAAATAGCTTTACATGTCCTTTCCTTCTCCCCTTCCTTAGTTTGATGTAATTTTACTATGCATTTTTTCCATCTATACTACTGAAAGAAGTAATGAACACATGAGAACCTTGCCATTCCATAGTAGGTAGATATCTGTGAAAAACTAATAATTTTTAATGGCCTCAAAGTAATTGTATGTAGAATAGCCAGGCTTAGTCAAGATCTATTGCACTCACCATAAAGGTAAAAAAGCTTTCCATCAATACGTTTCAGAAAATAAATTTCAAAGCATTATTTTTTAGGAGTTCTACTGAATGCTTAAAACCATTTATACATGGAGGAAAACAAATTTCTCTACACAGCCTTGTCTTATGAGAGACTGCATCCACAGAGGTTAAAGTAGTGTTTTGGATCTTACTGCTTTTTAGATCATTCAGCTGGCCCAGCAGCATGTGGAGGAGAATTAAAACAGTCTTACTCAACAGCATCACATAGTGCAAAGAAAAACTTTACATACCTGTACATAGAACCTAAAATGTGTGCTCCAGAAATAAAGAGACAGTGAGAAGCCATACCTAGAAGATTAAGTTTACTTCTTACACACCTGGCATCTGAAAATGATGAAATTCTAAACTGACATAAATCTCAGTTTCATTCTATGGGCAGTAATGCTTCCCAGTTAACTGACTGTCAACACAACGGGAACAAGGTAGCAACTTTTCTCCCCTTCTAGTAAGAATGAATACTTAGATTTCTTCTTTTGGATGGCTGTGATTCAGACAGATGGAAGGCTAAGAAACTGTCTATGGTGACAGATCCCTTTTGCAGAATGAAGCCCAGGTCTCTTTTCAGAAACCAGTCTCATCGCTGTGAAGGATGTTGAAAAGAGTTAGTTCCTCTAGGAGACTGAAAGGATGTAAATATCTAACTGGTAAAGAAAGAACGTGGTCTCAATGGAAGATACAGGGAGATCAATAATTTTCCTTAGTTTATGGAATTTGACATATTGATGGGAAGAAACCAGGCCTAACATACCTCCTTCTAACTTTGTGAGCTCGTTACAGAATGCCAAGCTTAAGGCTGATGAAGAGCTGCAGCACGGCAGGTGGGATTAACCAACCCAACTTGGCTTACTAAACGTTCTTCTTCCTACAGCACCAAACTGCAGCCTACCTTTGGAATTTAAGGAAGATTTTCTGCTTCTCTGTTGCTGTAACAGACACTATCCAGCTTTGAATCAGGTTAATCTGGAATTGCCATGTCATCAGTAGAAGAGTTGCAGTTAGCTAAGAAGGGAAGGACTTACCCCTAGGAGTTGCACTTCTGGTTCCTCTCCATACTCACTAGGCTTAGGCTAAGCAGAGAAAACCCAAAGCAAGATGAGTCGTCATGTCATAACAAAAGGGTGGTTGTGGGGAGGAGAGCAGTTTCTCAAGCACAAGTTTCATGCTATTGTTCAGGACAACCCACTCAGCTTGCCCAGGAGGCTGCTTTAGTGCTTTTGTGAACTTAACAGGTTCTCCAGCTAAAAATGCAATAAACTGTGTTATTTTGAGATACTGCAATTACCGTGGTAAATATGCTCTTTGCCTTTTTCCTATATTTGCTCTAGGGTCAAAACCTCCCATCTGCGACCACACAAGTGTACATCTGCCAGCTGCAGTACTGTAGTATCAGGGTTTGGATCATACTTTACAGAAAACATCAGAAACTGGATCTTAACCACCTCCTTGACTGACCTGCTGGACACGGTGTTGTCTGGTTCCACTTCTGAATTTGCCACCAGGGAGTTGTCTGTAGGGACCAGCTCCCAGTCAGCCTTCTGTTGGGCTGCTCTGGATGCAATTATTCTTTGATTTACCTTTGAACATGTGGGCTTTGCTCCCCTTTTTCTATGTTTAAAATTAGACTTTTCCAGAGCCTGTATTTACAACTTTTCCAGAGGAAATAAAAAGTGTCTTGTTATGTTTGATTTATTAGAAAGTTCCATAAGGAAGCTATCACACAATGCAGAGTACATCTCTTGCAAGGAAAATGTGGAGAACTGCAAACGGAACTCAGAATCTCCCAGGAACTAAAGTAACTCCAAATAAACTTATTTAATAAAGGAGTGCAGGCTGAGTAATATGTTCACTAATGGCAGTGACAAAGCTCCTATTTACAGCATGTCACAGGATCACACCTCGGTCTTTCATTTTTAGTTCTAGAGTTGGCAATCTGTTTCAATTCTGATGTTAATGACATCAGCTATGAAATAACCTCCAGTTCTGTCTAAACAATTTACATATATATGCAAAACACAAAGCAAACAGTTCTATTCAAGTTCTCATTATTATATACAGAATATACAGAAAGGACAGGGCAGTTTACTGTTTTGATATCAATATTGATTATATTTTAATAGTTTTTAAATTTTTAAAAATTAACTATATTCCTTAATCAGTGGTCAAATGCTTTAATGACAATATATAGAACTATCCAGTATTTGCTGACAGTGACAGATACATGTATATTCTTATATACTCTATGCAATAATCACACTTAGCTTATAGTGTTAAACATATCTTACACAGGCAATTCATTTTTTTAAATGAACTAAGCCTCTTTGAAATCTTTAGTTTTCTGAAGATTTTGTGCCATCTTCATGTTATTAGTGGGAAAACAGTAATAACCATAAATCTTACTAATTTATAACAGTTTAAGTATATTTTTTTCTTATCTCAGTGGGAAGAAATTCACCTTTGCTGTCTGGATACCATTAGGCTTCAATCCACTTTTTACAGATGATCTCTAGCAAGGGAGAGGTTTGAGCCCCAGCCCTTGCTAAAGAGGGGGCAGTCAGAAGGCACATTCCCAGTATACTTGCGCATTACTAGTACTCTTGCTAGGTGTAAATTTTACCCTTTACGGAACATGATTAAGGATGAAGGCCAAATGTTTAACCTACCATCCACATTTTTCATCATGGGTGAACACAACCTCCTCCCTACTCTCCTTTGCCTCTCCTTTTCTTTTGAAAGGATGCTTGTGAGTGTAACAGAGCACAATTCTGACAAGATGTAATTATTTTAGATAAATTATCTAGCTTTAAGAAACAAATGAATGGAAAAATTATATGCCAAGCCAGCTAACAAATAAAGAACAAGTATTGTGAGTTTGTTCAGTCTTCAGCAGTGTTTTGCAGTTCTGCTTCTAGACCAGCTGAGCTGCAGAAACATTGCAGATTCAAAATGGACAACTTGAATGGCAACATGCTATTTGCAGAATGATTATTTTTTAAACTATTAAATATAAAACAGCCCTGAAAATTAAGTTTAGTGCTGCAGGTACGTGTTAACTAGAAAACCCAGCACAAAGAACAATTCTAAACAACTCAGTAAAATTAATTCCTCCTTCAAAGCAGTCTGAGTCCTTTTCAGCTCACAAACATACTATCCTCAGAGCAGTGTCATGGATGCTACCTAAATCACCACAAGTCACCAACATAGCACCAGATCAAAGTGTGACATATTTGATTAGAAGGACCCTGATTTTTAAATGATACAGAAAAGATTTCCAAATTTAATTTCCAAGTTCAAAGCTCTGATGAAGTCTGAATGATCACACCTATAGTAAACATTACAAGTGAAGCTGAGTAATAACTCTCACACATAAAAAATAACTCACTCTTATTCAGCATTTTTTTATTGGAGTGCAGCACAGATACTTACCCTGAAACAATAACTTCAAAACATTTATGAACATAGCTGTCAACAATATTAAATACATACATTTAAAAAATCTGAAACATGAGTAACAATCTAAGACATATTCACAATGTAATCTCTCCATCAGTTATAGTATTTATCTCAAATACTGTGAGAGGATGCAAGTCTGAAAATATATGTATTTTAAGCTATCACAGAGCATAGAAAATATATGAAAATATCCACTAACATTTGGCACAATATAAATATTCTACCCCGAGAGAGAAAACAAGTGTAGTCTTTTGTGTGACACAGATCATTATTCATCACAAATCATGATGTTACATCAGAGAGCTGTTGCTCATGCAACAGCAGCTCTGGTTTTAGTCGGGAAAAACATGCTCAAAGCTTGTGAACGGGAGACACAGTGGTCTGTGAGAATGCATGTTTAGGTACTTAGCCATTTAATTTAGCTGAATAAGAAACAATGTAATGTTTTCCTGTTGTTAAACATTGCCATCTGTATCTCTGGCACACAAATTAAAAAAAGAAGGGTGTGACCATTAAAAGTACGTGTCCTGATATTTCCTTCTTCAGGGGGCAAAGAGGTTAAAATGGAAAAGCTGATCTGTGTATAAATCAGGAACACATGTGGTAATGAGAACAAACAGCAGCCAACAGGCAGGCGGGGAGGACTTCTCCAGGCACAAAAAGAGATGGTCAAAAATACCATCTACTGGAAAGGGAGGAGAGATTTTCACTTTGAAATTGGTAAGTTTAACCAATTCTATTAAGTCTTCATAGTTTTTTAAGTACTCATAAATAATTCTAAGTTTTAAAACTTGATTTAAGTGAAAAGCTGTCTGTCCGGTAGTACAAAGCAGCTTTGCTTTAGCATTAATATTGGTTTCTATCTGTAGAAAAACAGAGGTGATCTTAACATGTGTAACAGGATCTATGTGTTTAGTATCTGAGTGAAATAACAAAACAGTGCAGACGTGCATAGACTTCACCTTAAAGTTATGAAATGTTTGTGTCTGCAGCCTACCTACTAGAAGTAGATACTAACAGCCAGTCTGCTACTCAGGCTGAAACAGTTTTGTTTGATTTCTTTGGAAATAAACATAATATTTGACATAGGAAGTTACAGTTCACTTAAAGCTAAGAAATATAACACAGTTGTGAATAATAATCCTTTTGATGCAATGCATCTGATATACCAGTGGCAGGACCCCAAATATTAGTCAATTAAAATAAGTCTTTATCTTTACCTTACGACTTGTTCCTTTACACAGACAGAAAAAATAAAGAAAACATTACGGATCACAAAGCACTGAATTTTCAAGTGTAAAGTCATACCAAAATCTTGATAAATGATCATTGATGTCGTAGGTGAGCAATCGGTCAGGAACATCATTATGGGTGCCCTGTACTGCTAACACATGTGGTGCCAGGGCAAAGGGTACGTCACTCAGAAGATCTGACATAAAAGGGCTGCTTTCCAAATTTTGACTCCTTTCATTTCCCATCTCTGCACTTGATACAGTCAACTGCGATTGGTGCCCCGTATTTATCTAAAGAGAAGAACAGAAATTCAGACACTACAAACCAAGCAGCTAAGGCTTTGTACTTAGAACCATCATGATCTACTAATAAATGAAAATAAAAAATAAAATAATAAATAAAATCAGTTTTAGAGTTTGGTTCAGGTAGATCTAAAATAGCAATTCTTAATACATGTTGATATAATCATTTGACTTGAATTAAGGCTAGAACAACAACAGATTTTCTTTGAACCATTAGTGAGATTTCTCCACCTAATGTTACTCTTCATTTATGAAACCCATAAGTCTGGTGGGACTTTTTGTCATTATGTCCAGCCTTGTTTAGGGGAAATTACCTCATATAAGTCTTTTCATAAACGGATTAAGCTCCATCTTTTGTTCACTCTGTGCCTCATCAGAAGTTGTCCAATAAAGGCACAACTTTGATGATTAAAAACCACTCCTATTCCAGTTATTTCAAAGTATTAATAATGTTGCTTTCCAATTTGAAATGGAATTGCATGACTGTCTGGTGAGGTCTATTATATATGGCAATATATGCACTGCTAAATATGTGCTTTATAGAAAAACACAGTTAACAAAACTTAAAAAAAAAACAAAAACAAAACAAATCAAAAACCAAACCAACCAACCAAGAGCAAAAAAACAAACCACCAAACCAAACCCAACAATGAAATAGAAAACCCCTGCTGTACAGAAGTCAATATAATTTACAATGCCTGCAGATAGGATGCTAGATCCAATAGACTTGCAAGCTTAATATTGGCTTACCAATACGACCTTATTAAGTGTCTATCCTAAAAATTCTACTGTTTAAAAAACAAAGAAATAATATTTACACTGCCTCTAGAAATCAAATCTAATTTATTTTACTCTTTATAGCAATAACAATGCAAACTGACCGCTCTCACATCATCCCAAGAAGTAAGATGTTTATTGTATGGATTTCTATTTTGTATAAGCACGCATACAGAAATATTTAGTATTTGTTCAAAAGTGGTTGACAAGTTATGTCAGAGCCAAGAACATTAAACATGAATTTCTGACTGAAGTCCTGACTTCTTCATTTCAACCCCCCATACTCAGCACACAGATAGAAAAATCCAAAGCTTACACTGTTATTAAGGAAGGGAGAGCACTGAAAGCTTTAACACTAATTTGGTGTTCCACTGATCGTAAGAGCTAAATGGATCTAGTTGTATGGAAGCTGCTGTCATCCTAAATTTTTCCATGATTTTTAGGGGAGCTGTGCTGCTCAGGATCTGACCTATGCTGGAGTTGAATGTTACAGAGAATCTGAGGTTGTGGCTGTTTGACAGGATGACAGTTTGGGTGGTGGGGTGGCGGTGGGGTTGTTTGTTTTCTAGCATGGAAGTATGTAACACAGCTAAGGTAAAAGGCACTCCATCTCCTTCTCAAAGGAAGGACTGGATATGACTTGAACACAACCTGAGCACTAATCATTCCTTACACAACCCAACATTCCATCTAGTAGGACAGATAAATAAACATTAAGCCTTCTATTAAACTGTCAACAATGAAAAAGGTAATCTTGCCCATCTAAGCCAGTTCACAGTCAGTACCTGTCTTAGGTGACAGAGGAAGCTCGCTCCTCCATAAGCTACTGGGACAGAAGGGGTTAGTGATGCTGCACGCTTTGAAATGGATCCTCATTTGGAAGCTTTTGTTTATACTCAGAATGACTAGAAACTTAAAGCCTAAGATAAACTTCCCAAGATTCGTTACTATTATGTCACAGGATAATAAAGTAAAATTTCTTAAGGTTAAGAAGTTTTATTAAAAGGAATGACTGCTAGATCTAGCTACTAACCTTACTGGTTACTCCAATACAAAAGAAGAGCAAATGAGCTCCAAAGGAGGCAAGTGATGAAAGCACCCTTCTGCTGAACTGCTGGGTTTCACTTCCCAGTATAAATCCTATTTGATTTTTTCCCCCTCTCTTCCAGATCACTTTCTGGCTAATACTTATAAAACATTTTATTTTATAGGTATCAAAAAGGAAAGAGTAGTCCCATCTTTGTCTATTCATCTAGGCTACTTCAGAGCCTTCTGGAGTTAGACAGGGTATGTTACTGGATTTCTCCTGCTTTAACAGTATTCTCTAAGCTATTGTAATACTAACATGTTTGTACTACATAATTCCTACAGCTGCAGTTTACAGCTGTTTCTTCATGTTCTTTATTTTCCCTAGCTTTCCTTTTCCAAGTTCTCTACTCTTACGAGTAGCTAACAGTTCTTCAGAAAGCTACATGCAACATCAGAGGCAAGAGTTGATACAGATTTCTTTTGGCTTTCTTTACTGATTCTGGTACCTTCAGAGGGTTGGGAAAATAGGAAAGCTAGTGGAGAAGTCAGGAAGATAGCCTGCATAGTTCTCCTACTACAGCTTTCCAAGTTCTGAGCAAAAAACCAGGGGCAATAGTGCTGTAAGTCTGCAAATTCAGTAAAACCCCTAAAACCTCTTGTACTTGTCTGTTCTAATCAGCACAGTTATCTTCAAGTCAACGATCAGCAGCTCTCACTTTAAAAGGAAGCTTAGCTTCTATAGCTGCTGATAACACTTACAGGAAAGTATTCCTTCTTGTCATGGCCAAATAGGCTCAAGGTGTGCATCATAACAAAATTCATAAACATCTTCTGATGTAGAAATATGCTAAGAACACTGCCAAACACACAGAACATCCACTTATATTAATGATATTTATCTGAAAAAAAACCCCACATTACTTCAAATAAGTACTTAAATTTGTAGCTGCTCTAAAGTTAAAAACTTCCCTTAATTTTCACTCTGCACAAATTTGTTACATTCCCTTTTGAAAGAAATAACCTGTGGAGCATTTACTGAGGTGCTGGTATTTCCTTGTATTACATAAATCCCATATTCTGAAGGGGAGAGCAGAGCCAGAAAGCCCCAAATGAAAAACAGGAAAAGGTTACATCTAGGAATCAATTAAACAAGATCTTCAAAGACCCTTCTGCCTTCCCCCATTCCAGGGAAAAATGAACCCTCACTCACCGTCCTATTCCCATAGCTCAGATGATAATCAGAAATCCCTAGAATCTAATGTTTATTTTGTTTGGCAAATTATACTTTTATGAACACTTGTTTATATCTTAATTGTCCCACAAACTAGATGGATTCAGTGTACAATTCAAATTAGACCATCATGTGACAAAACTAACTTCAAAGAGAAAAAATAAACCAGAGAGAGCACAAAGCACCTTGGATCTTCTTTTTTCCTCCGGAAACCTTACATTTGTTAGAAGCGTGCCAAATGGGCAGCCCCAGAAATTAAAACCCTTTCAGCACCCAGCAGATACCATGCATTGACAATGATAGAGCAAGAACCAGCTTTTCTTGCTCTCAATTTCCAATCCATGTTTCAAAGCAAGACCGTAGTAAGGAAGGATGAATTACATTAGAATTTGTTTACTGTTAAACATCAATTTACCATACTCAATCTCTGCATACTGTCAGCGAGATTCTTAATAGCCTGTAGGTTCTGATACTATTTGAATAGTGAAAATAGTATCATAAATAAAGCCCAAAATGGCTGAGAGCAACATAGTACAGATATGTCAGGAACAAAGGACAGTGTCAGGTCAGTATAACAAATGCCATAAACTGATCTCGGAACCAATGGCCTTTGGGTCCCAGTCTACCCAACCCCTCATGAGAAGGACTTGGGTCCAATAGGACAAAATCAGTTTACAGCATAAATGCGAAAAGGACTCGATATTTCCTGTTTCAGTTTCTCACATAAACCACTGTCTCTCTCATAAAAACGGCTTTTTTTCTTAAAATGTCCACATTCACTTTTTCATTTATAGCAAGTCACACTTTATGTTACTATTATTAGGCTGACATCCCAACAAATTATGCAATAGGAAAAATACAAAACCTGGGGAGGATGATTCTTTAATGCAATATGAAACATCCAAACATGGTAGAGAAATGCTGGCTAAAATTAACCTGGAAATTCAACTGAAGATAGGCTGCTGGAAAACTCTCACGTTTGCAGTTTAACTCCTTGAATACTGTGGAGCCCATCCCTCTAGTACACAGTGTGTCATATGCATTATGGCATGTATCATATTATCTATTAGGTATCTACATACACAGAAAAAGGTTGCTGTCCTCAACAATTAAGGTTGCAAGAGTAATTTTCCAGTTCTGCCTAGCGCAGCCGTTACAGGCAATCACTGTCCTTTGCTATGCAGAATTGTTTCTGAGCGCTCTTGCAGTGATGTTTAGATACTGGTGTCACGAGTAAATCTATTCAAGCTGGGCATATGTTTGTGCTTCCAAATCATAAAGACATCCTTTAAATGGACTAAGACATATTTCACTCATATGCTGAAGAATACACATCAGCGAAAAGACCTTGATGAAGCCAACCTGACCACCGGGCTTTTATAGTCCTGGGGTAATGTAATGAAGAACTGGACACTCTGGTAGAGAACATCCATCACCCATCAGTGCTGAGATTGCCCAACCTGGTTGCAATGCAAACACCAGCACAAACCTATGTGATGAAATTGAAGTCAAGGTTATGAAATGGCTTATAATTTCACACATGCATTCTTCAAGCATATACAGAATTGCAAATCCTAGACAATTTGATATCCCACATTAGTCACACTGGTTTCTACTTAAATGCCTAACTTATTTATCCAGAATACAATCAGAGCATATTCTCTGGACATTAGCTAAACAAAGCACTGACAAATGCTATGACACAATCCTGCTATGAGAAATATTAATTGAATGCATTTTAAAATCACCAAACAATTTACATTTCACCAAACACCAGGGAGTCAAAAAATCAGTTAGGATTACAGAAAGCAAGGTAATCAGATTTAATTCAAATAAGTAAGGTGTTTTCTTCATTCTGGGTTTGCAACCCAAATGAACAGGGATGAAAGAAACAGTATGTAAACATATATGGTATCTGGCCACCAGATACTAATTTCACTCTGACAGCAAG